GTCTTATCGTTAACCTCCAAAATTTTCACGAACATTCCAGTGTACACTTTGTAACGCTACGTACTTCATATCGTGACTCCTATTCACTGCAACAACTACGCAGTCTCGAATATCGAACCTGAAAAAAGATTCGAGAATAACCTAACCTAAAAGATCGAAACGATGAAAAGTATTGACAATGAATTTGAACCTCGCTACAGACGACAATCCTTCTTCTCCTTCCTCCATTAACGAACTGTATTACTGGAACTATTCCAACTGCCCTCACAATCCATTCAAGATATGCAAGCAATCGAACGTTAAGCCGGCTTTTGCTACCATTTCTTGCGAGCGCGCGCTACATTCTGGGTGGTAGAGAGAGGCCAAGAGACGAGCGCAACCTCGCTTCTCGTTCACGCGCGTAACCTCACGTCCATGTCGCAATGGCGGATTGACGGCCGCGTTACCGCTCAGGTCGCACATATACACGCGAACGGTCGTGTGTGTCGTGTACGAGGGACGAGCATTACGGAGCTCGTCTTGTATATCGGTATGATTATTATAGGTTAGACGTTTCATGGCAGTGCGCACAATGCACCGGAGTAGAGGACCGGCGGAATATAACCTCGCTTCCCGCAGACCCAGGGCGACGTGATCCAACGACAGGGGCACACACAGTGTTGTTCTTAATAGGGTTGTGTGTAGCAGCACACGCACGTGCGCGATACACGCGCGTTCGTTGTGTATGAGTAGCATCGTTGGCCGAGCACAATGCTATAGTCACCCCTGGGTGTTGCTAGTTCCCCTTAACCTACGCGCGACTAAAACAAGATTTATCGTCTGTGGAAACGTACTCGTCGATACACTGAACCGACGCAAAAATACGGGCGTATGGGGCCTTTGTTCGAGGAGAATCGGTAGGCTTAAGTTTCACAGGGGATTGGCCGGGGTTGTAATTAATGAGTAATATCGACCAACGATCGGAAAAAGGGAATAAAAACGATTCACTGAAAGAAGAATTCCGAGAATTATAAACGAAATATAATGGGAAATATTAGAACCTTGGAAATTAAATTTTCAATAAAATTATCGTATATAGAAGTATCGTTGAATATATCGTGTATCGTATCGTACACAATATAGCACGTGTAGTTACGGCACTGTCCACTAGCGAGATCGAAATCCTTAAATAGCCATCTGGTGGATCTGCCGAAAAGCTCATTGAATCACGATTAGCCACGTGGACGGTATAGAAGAAAACCGCCTTCGTCACGCGAGGGACGAAGCGTTTATCGTCTACAAGAACGAATTTTTTTTTCCTATTTCAACCTTTCCCTCCGTGCATCCCGTTCCAAGTTACGCTGTGAGAGTATACCTTTACGCGAACCCACAACAAACGTGTACTTGTATCGATCTCTTCCTCTACTTTACACGCCTCTATTTCCAGGCGATAATCGTTCTGACCATACACGGTAGAGGAACACGTTAACCGTTTACTTCCAAAATCCTTAGCAAATAAAAACCGATCTTCCAAATTCGACATAACCACGAAATACTTCGTTTAACCGACACGAACACTAACCTCGAATTGCCTACGTGAACAATATACTAAATTTTACCCGTATCTCCTAAGAAGACTAACCGAGTGAAACGGTCTTTTGATCGATACGCATCATTCGCTGCACGACAATCATGCGGATGACACTGACAGCCATTCTATGGGCGTACATATGAATATATGTGCATATGTGTACGTATATTTCTGACCATGCCCTTCTCTCCTGCCCTTCTGTGCTTTAACGAGGATAGCCGAGGGTCGAACCTCGTTCGACATGTAAATGTAAATGTTGGACAAGAACCACCCAGAGATTCTCAACTTTCTTAACCCAGTGTCTCGTGGCCGGCGCGGGAGCCGGGGGCCCGGTGAGAGTCACTGGCGAGGACACTCGGTGACTCCCCGGTGTGGCAAGAGTGTTGCGACGTTCTCGACACAGTTGGCAGTGGTGATCAATCTTCCCCGGCCACGTTACATTCTTCGACCGCACGTCCGTCACCAAGGAAAAACGCACACCGACTGCACAATAGCGTATAAATGGGCTGGAGGCAGAAAATCCCGCTGACTCGTCGCCATGCCATGTTTTCAGGCCACAACTATGGTCGCTTTAGATCGGTCTGTTCTTATTACTGTCTTATTATTTATCGTCCAAGTATCGAGTTATTCATTTTCCATGACAAAGAAAAAAGAAAAAAAAAATATGTGACACACGATGAGGTTAAGTTTACGGTTATAGCGACTAGGTATGATGGACATTTTGAGAAAGTGAAAGAGGGGTCGGGTGAAGCGAGTCCTTAATGGAATATTGCGAAGGGTAACTAAAATGAGAACCACTCGTCGGGATTTCAGTGGGTGGCGTTGGTCCCCTCATCAAATGCTTGTCATACCGTTCTTACCCTCAAACTCCGGAGCCTAACGGATCCCAACAGTCGGGTAAAGCCCGAGCCGCACCCCCGTGTACACAACGAGAAAGAGGACGATGTGTATATGAGAAGAGGTGGGCAACCACCCCAATGGACCCGTCGACGAAGGCTTAAAGCCCATAGGCCTGTGATATGCCTCGGGGCCAAGAATTATGTCGCTAAAACCCACCAATTACGGGGGCTGCAACCCAAAAACGGCTTTCTTTCCTTCCACTTCTCCGCACACACACAGAAGACGTGCGTGCGTCATTTCTTTCTCAGTCGAGGTCGAATTCTGCGGGGCAATTTAAACCGACGCTTTTAACCATAGGAATGAAACTTTCCGTGATTCGCATTTTTCCTCGAAGTGCCTAAAAAATAATTGCAATTGTGCTTGAATTGTCTTTACAAGATTCACTTTTTCGCAAAAAGAAAAACAAATAAAATTAGATATTGGTGAGCAACATATACAGGGTGTCATAGGTACAACCGGGAAGGGGGTGATTCTACATAAAAAAACAAGTCCAAAATCATGAATAAAATTTTTTCGTTCGAAGCTTCGTTGTCGAGAAAATCGATTTTGAATATTCACTGAGTGCGCTGGCATACCGATGGTCCATCCGTCTAAGCCAAGTTAAGTGCACGCATGTATATAGGTGTATATACAAAGTCGATTTTCTGAACAACGAAGCTCCGAATGAAAAAATGTTACTTTTCATTTTTGATTCGTTTTTTCACCTAGAATCACCCCGTCCCGGGCTTACCACCGTTGCTGGGACACCCTGTATATACATAGATATGTTATATATATATATGAAAGAAATCACAGGATAATTATGTTCTTACGTGTATCCTTGACAAGATCTATATTTTGGAGAAAAAGAAAAGGAGAAAATAATGTAAAACCTAATATAGTTATATATAGATACAAGAGGTATCATTCGATGTATAGTTATACTATAGGACGAACAACAGAATAATAGGAGACGGGGAGAAATCCTGTGAGCGTGTATCGTAGTCCATCATTCGACGATGAAAAAGACCATTCGTCTGATTACGATTTCACGAAACGTCGTCGCGCACCGTATCCACCAGCCAGCGACGGATTAATCAGCGAAACCATGCGGTTTCTTGCTCCCTCTGCGATTAATTAATCCTCGCGATTAATCACTCCAAGCGCTTTTCATCGACCAGCAGATCGTTTTTGTTCGTATTTTCGAGAGAAGGATATGCACGCATATACACAGAGGCGTTTGTTTGCCGTGCGAAAAGAGAGGCACACAAAATTTACACGAGTCGCAACAATACGTTTCCTGTAAACCTTTTTAATTTCAATTATGATAAACAATTCACCAATACGTAACGGACACTGAACGAACATGCGTACGCGCGTTAATATTCATCCACGTATCGATAACGATATTATCGTAAATAATCCGAGCGCAAAAATTATTACGAGAAATTCATCCGATTGTCTGTTAACCGTTATTAACATGATACATCACGTTCCTACTCCCGTTTAAACGTCCAAGCTTGAAAAAACAATCGGATTTTTTGTTCGGCAAGAAATAATGTTTTTTGACGTCAAACAGACCGGAAAATACACACACATATCTGATTCTATTTAAAATTCCCGCTATTTACGTATTAAATAAAGATGGAAGCGTGTAAATACATGAGTACCGGGGTATGTATACGAAAAATACTAAATTGCCAGATGCATCGAGCCGGAAATACCGAAAAATTTGTTTGATAACGCGTATACGTGTATTTCATAAAAATTTATACAACGTACTGCAGGATAGAACAGGACGAGCCGAAAAATATATATCGAGCGATCAATCGTGACTCTGTGCGTATAAAAACCGAATTACGGACTTTCTGTGCCGTCAAACCCATAAGAATTTCGGGGCTCGTCCGCGCGACCCGTGTACGACAGCGAGTCGAGAGCACTTACACAAAAAACTTTGGAACGTTTCCATTACTCCGGCGAGGCGGGCGAAACGCGTCGATGAAAACCGACGCGAAATCTCGGGGCATTTTTATCGCCACGAAAACGAGTTCACGTTATGTAACGACGTTAAAACGTTTAACGCGGGAAACAAAGGAAATTCGCGCGTTCAAAGATATCGCGTTACTTTACGCGGTAATTTTCTCCGATGAGAATAAACGAAATTACGCGGCTGCTTCTGCGATTCGTCGCACGATGGCGCTGAACGCAGACGAAACGCGCGAATCAACGGGAAAACTGCATCTGCCTCTTCCGCGTCGCATCTCGAAAGTATAAATTCGTCATTGGCATCCATTGTTACCAATCGGCCGTCTACTATGACTTTTTCTATTTCAGAATCAAGTGACCCTCCGGCGAGCATTTCAATTTTCGCTCCTCGTTTCAATTCGGATGGGACGACTCGACGAACAATTAGTCGTCGTGCAATTTGATCAGCGATTGTCATCGGCGTATCCCACCGTTCTCCCCACCACTGCCATTCCACTCCCCCTCTCACCTCTGCCACCGCCCGCCCAACAGCCCGTCGTCGTCGTCGTCGTCCACACGTTGAAAAAACTCGCGGTGGAGAATCATTTTTATGTCGCAGTTTCGCCTCTGTTCGACGCGTGCGCTGTCGAACGAAACGGTTTTCGAGAACCATCTTAACGGTGCTTAAACGATGTTCGATTAAAAACAAAGGAATCGTCGAAACTATCGGAACGTTTGCAGATATCGTCGATGGAACGATTTTACGGTAAGCGTGAAACGATAAACCTCGAAAGGATACACGAGTATACGAGAACGGTTTGAAATATACATATTTCGCAAGAGGATTCCATGGGTGCCGTTTTCTTCGTGCTTCGTAGATTCAACGAGATTATAACTTAAATACTTTAATAAGAGGAGAAATCGAAAAATCGTGGAGTCTCACGTACAAACAGCATAAACGATGCAAAAGATTGTGTATGCAGACGGAATACGGATGAATAAGCGAGCGTGGGAGCGAGTGAGAGAGGTAGAGTGAGGGTGAAAGGGAGAAACGGTGAAGTGGTAGGAAAAGACTAAAAGAGAAGAAAGAGAGGAGGAAACAAAGCAGCGTCCCTTTGTCCTTTGCTATAATGCACGGTACAAGTCAGCGCGGTGCATTTGCAAAGAGGTTGCAAGACTTTTCGTTATCGTGACATTTCTTTTTTCTTCCTGCTTTTTTTTCTTCTCTCCTTCGTTTATGCGTAGTAAATATGTACATATCGTTAATTGATCAAACGTTCGTTCCACACAGATGGCGCAAGTCTCGACCACAATGCAATTAAGCTGTATCGTTGCAAGCACGTTTTACATAATTGCAAGACACAATTAGATAATTACCAACGTGAAGCGAAAGAACACGGTATGAAATTTAAAATCAGCTCTTCGATGAAATTTTAATGTCCGTCAATTTTAATATCGAAGAAAAAGAATAACAATCAGAATTTTTCAATTTGTAGGTTAACGGAACTCGAAATGTGTACGAAGTACACGCGAAATTGCGAATAAATAGTACGGCTGAAATCAGCTCATTGGTACACGGTAAGCTGATTAAGTTCTTTACTTCCTCTGTAGGACGCATTAGACAATCAAGGGTAACAATCATTACCGTGCCAGTTATCGTCCTTATTATCACCATCCGTTTGACAGTAGCGGATTCAAAATGTACCAGTAAACTGGTACTTATCAAGATACGTTTAATTATCTTTAGAAACTTGCTTAATTGCGGCAATAATAGTTCATTTTGCAAAATAATTATGGTAACGAATATAGAATTTTCTCAGGTAAGGAATATTCTCTGGCAAATATTTCATTATTTTTCATAACCTATAATATTATACGACTATATTGATTTTGCAATTGAACGACTTCAATACATGTTAGAAGAGATAATATTATAATTTTTAAATGCTCAAATTTTGCTTATGGCCTCTATGAATCTTTCCGATCTTTTGTCATCCACGATTTGGCAAAGCAACGAGCGAACAACAATGTTCCATCGAGCGACTCCTGCTTTTATTATCTTTCTCTTCTTCGTAAAGGCTCGAGTTACAGAGTTACGAGCACAATAGTCGTAGCCATCCCATCATTTGTTTGGTTGCCAAGTGTAGAGAATGGGTCAGTTCTTAGCGCTTAGGATAGTGTTCGCTTCTATTATGACTCCGGGACATCTATCATTCGCGATGGTACATTCGAAATCAATTTTCCCTGCTTCTAAACCCGCGGTAAGTAACAACCCGGATATAAAACTGTCTACTGCGCGTGTGTGCATATACATACATAAATCTGCTTAAACAGTGTAATTGAAATTAACAAATGTCATTCTATATACTTTGTAATAGTCTTGCTGTATAAACACATGCAGTATTACCTAACAGTAATCGTAAGCCAACCATAACCTAAAAGACTGTTCCTAACCTTTGACTAAAAATTCTGCTTTCGACACTTGACTTCGCGTATTTCTTAATATTTTTTAACATAAATAACATCTATTTTCCAGTATCTCTACTTACCCCATTAAGTTTTTTCTTCTTTTAAGATTTTTCGTTCACTACAACAACGTTCCCGAATCTTACGAAAGAAGAAATAGCTGATCGATAAACGTCCAACGTACATTCTAAATCTTCTAAGCCGATAGATACGATAAGAATGAACTATCGTTGGTTATGATAGCGTTAAAAGAATAACAAGATGGACCTCTGGAGGTAAAACGAGCGCTATACACGTGGCAGGAGTGAGTATCCAATCGGGTCCAATGTTCTGCAACGACGCGTACACATTCGACGTCTATGAATAGAATAAACCGCGTATTATTGCAAGAACGATTTTACTCTTTAAGAATCCTCATGAGGAAATTATTGAACCACTTTGTGCCCCTTGAACGGCGCCACATTAGCGCCAATAAGCAAACAACCGGCGAGTGTACCCACATATCAGCGGCACCAGCACCAGCAGCCGCTTCTACGAACAGCAATTGTTGTACGTTGACTTGTCTTCTCTCTCAGCCTCTCTCCCTCTCTCACTCACTCATTCATTCACTCACCCCCCCCCCCCTCTCTCTCTCTCTATAAATAATCTCTACAATTTCTAGAGGCCTCCTGTGTCAGCGAATTCTCCGGTGGTCTCGTTTCGCATAAAGGACTTTGAGCTTATGTGACGCGTGAAATTATAACGGCGGTGGAAAAGTAAAAAGAGAGCGGCCGGGCCAAAGCATTCTTTGAATAGTGGAATTATTTGCAGTAAGAAAATGAAAATGCAAAGGCGGCCGGCTAAAGCGTATATAAAGGAGAATGCTTTTTCTACTATGACCCTGCAATTATATTACTCCGTGCCGATCCTTTCTTCCGTAAACTTCGTAACCGCCATTTGGTTTATTCTTTGCAACGACGCGGCGCGAGAAGGACAGGTTGCGAGACAGAGCGGCGGAGAGAGGAGGAGAGATAGAGAGAGAAGCATCGCGGCCGCTGTTGGCTGCTGCGCGCGGGTGGCTGCCGGAAGGCTTAACTGTGAACCGAGAAAAATGTGAAAATCCACGCGAAAAGAAGGATATTTACATATGCAACTGTATTCGAGTGATATCTCGCGTGGCGGTGGCGCTAACCATTTTAGAGGGAACGTTTAAAAACAGCCGTATACACCGGCTGTTTTACGCTCCGAGATCACACGTAACGATACCGTCACGGATAAATAAGATCTGGCCACAGAAAAAAAAAAAGAAAAAATTGACCGGTAAACTTTCCACCGTGGAGGATCCAGCGGGCGCTTAATAGTTCACTTCTGAAGCGTTCAAACAATGAACAAAGCGGTGAATTAAAATTGGAGGCACCCCATAAGTGGGCTCATGAAAGGGGAGAGAGATAATATGGGCCGCCGCTGCAATGGTGTTAGAGCAACTGACGGGGTAACTACTTTGAAAAGAAAAGTTGAAAGCTCACGAGCACCGACGCCTTTTATTCTCCGACGGTAGAAGTGGTTAAGGCGCTTCCCTTCGTCGGTTCCTCGTCATACCAATATTATAAAAAGAAATGAAATTTCAAGTTCATATAATAAATCCTTCCCATTTTGCTATCGCGATCAACAATCCATGGAAACGTTCTACGATTACGGTCGAATCACCGTCATAAAATTGATAAAATATAGATTTCAGAGATGAGATGCAGTCGTACTAAGAATATTCGAACGTTTGTAGCTGCTATGGTTAACAAGTGAGACATCTATGCCAAACCAAAGTGCTTACAATAGTGTGGCATACGTAGCAAGGAGAAAGTCTCAAAATTGTATACACCGTGATGAGGTATAGTCTATTCCATAGAAAAACACCTTAGTGCTGTCATAGTAGCAAAAGGTAGATTAATAGCATACTGAAACTTCTTGTGTTATAAGTAATAGTACTTTCGACTACCAATTATACATATGTAGCCAAGTACTTTTGTAAGCCAACATATGAGACTTCCGTTTTACCATATACATCGTATTGTTTCAAACATTGCTATTTAACGTGCACATTTCACCCGTTAAAAAATAGCAAATGTAGATGTTCCAATACTCTCCTGTACGCGTGTATATCTCGCAAGTGATCCGCGATGAACATTTACATGGACTATACTCTCCTCTGCCAATGCTACTTCCAAGTGGCAGTACATTTTTTCTTCCTCTGTGTTTTTAATGCCCGAGTCAACAACGCGTTCGTACAAACATTCCTTCTGACCAAAGTACTCGCCGGAACCATAAAGCATACATCATAAAAATTTCCCCGTATAAAAGAAAATTACAAAAATTAGCGATTCCGGGGCGAAACTGCGTCGGACACAATAAAAATTGGCCAAGTTCGCGGTATCTCGAGTCGCGGCGACACTAGCGCCCTCAACTCTCGTAATTTCAACCGCGACAACCGTGTTTCGCTCGGCGTTTCGAGAAACTTGAAAAAGACGGTTACAAACGAAGTAAAAAGGGCGCGTATCTTTCATTTACCTACGCCTTTTTCTTTTCATTCTTCCTTCTTTTTTAATTTTTTAATTTTTTGTCAGGTACTTACGGGAGCGGCTGGGTGTCTCGCCGGCGCGGGGTACATCTTAATTGTGGCTAAATACTTTGCAAGAATCACACACGTCCGCAGTGTCCTTTGTACACGGTCACTTCATGATCCATTCCCCGGCTCGATCTTTGCGGCAACATTCTCAGGATCTTGGAGGAACGCCAACGGTCTTCCCTCAGTGTTCAGCATCTAGATCTTCGCCGGCTGTAATTATAACACGACACGATTCGTTACTTCGAACGAAACCAAGGTGTTTCGTAAACTTCGTCGTAAGAAGTCCCGATTTCGTACAACTTGTCTTTTGTTGGAACTAAATCATTGCTCTACGTTTCTACCCGAACGAGGTAATTTTCAACGATCACCAAAATGGACGAGACTAATAAAGTGAGTCGTTCTATAAATGCGAATCATTCACAGGCCAAACTGATTAACTCCGAATGTTTTCAAATTTTGGCGCCAAAGTACCGATTGACGCGCAATTGTGTACATTTAAAACGAATTTGTACTTTTTTCGTTTTGCAGATTTAATCACCGCGAGAGTAACTTAAACAGCGAAATGATTTAGTTGCCAGAGGTAAAATTAAGTATTAAAAGTATGGTATATAATCCAGTTTTTATACTGATTGAAGGCAATTGAAGTTTTAATATTGAATAGAATGCTGTTGTAAAATTTATATAATGGCAGACCGTAAGGACGAACAAGCGTACCGAAACTGGTGAACAATTCGAGATAACAAATAGAAGACCGTACAGTAACGGGTTACGTGCGTTTATGTTCGCGAAAACTGGAGACATTTCCGGTAATCAAGGCTCGATTTCAAAAAACGATAACGTAATTTCTATCGATCACTGACACATGTGGAACAAGATTATTCGTCTAAAAATAAAATGGATTAAAGATCGCAAAGACAAAAATACAAATCGTATTCGATAAATAACCTAAAATTCTCAATCGACTCTAACGACGAAATATCATTTATTCCATTTATACGAGACGAGCCTAAATATCGATGTAACGTGAAAACGATCGAAAAGTGCATCGAAATAACTGCAAACTTGTGCTTCGTTTAAAAAAAGAGAACAGCAATCGGCCATTTTCAGTTTTTCATGGCGAAAAAAAATTGCAGCGACGCGTTCCGTATTGATTTGGAAATTATTTATACGGTGTGTACGCGTCACGTGTGTACGCGGCTTTATGAATCCGGCCGATCAATTTATCGTTCGATTTACGAGGCGCGTAAACCATGCTCCGTCACCATTCCGAGAACATTTATCCTAATCTTCGAGGCGTGTTTCTAACGGAGGACGACAAAGAGCGAAAAGAGAGGCAGGAAAAAAGGAGGAAGGGCGACGGTGGTGGGGGAAGGTAAGTGCGCGCAGCGCCCCCTCATTTAAACCAAACGCAAAGCTGTTGTACGAACGAAATATCACGTACGGAAACTACGTTTCGTATTTTTAAGAAACGCCGTCCATGGTAAACAGTCTTCATCTGTGAGTTAACTTTCTTGCATCTAGAGCTCGTGTTAAATCGCCGATTAAACGACAACGCGGCGTGAAACGAGGGAATGAAACATCGATAATGGCGGACGATGAACAAATGACTCGTTATAACGTACTCGTGACGCGTGAATTTAATTTGTCTGTACGGAAACTGGCGGTGAAATTCAGGTAAGGATGATCAACGAGCCGAATTAATTTAACTGGCTAAAAAATCACATTGTTTGCACTCGCAATGTAGATGTCCTTTTAATTTGTTAATGTTGCGTGTGATTTGTAGAGGTCGCAGACATTGGGAATTCAACGCGTATCTTGCAGCAGTTTGCACGTGTAATTTACTCTTGTATGACTCTCACACGCTATAACTGTCCGTGCACTCGGAATTCGAGACGGGTAATTTGATTTGTCGAATCAAATCGGTCACTCGATTATTTAAGTGACTCGTGTAACTTCGTGGCTCGAGTTTTTCAAGAAACGCAATCTGTCGCAGTAATTCGAATGGGTAAGACATCTTTTTAGGTTTGTACAGGTAATTCTCATATTTAAACATTTTTTGTAATTATGTTTCAATTCTTTATATTCTTATATCGGTATAATAATTAATTGATATTTTCAGGTTACAACTGATCGTCGAGAATTTACTCGTTACAAAATATATATATACGTGTGTGTATAATGACAACGCGTCAAAACAAGGTATCGTGTGACCTTCCGTTAGCGAAAAATGAGCAAAACACGAAACGTTCCGTAGCGTTTGCGAAATATGCTAACATCAGGCGCAAACAAAAATGTCAAAATACTTGTGCAGCAATTCAAGAATATTAATGGTCGCGTTAGGACGATTTGAATCATACTCAAGTAATTCTCGCACGATAAATCGAGCGTACAAATCGAAATCGCGCATGCGCAAATAACGCATATATTAGATAACGAAATTCAGCATTGTTTACAACGGTTACACGTATATGCAAACTCGGGATTGAAAGTGTGTGAATAATTTAAAACAGCGGAATAAAATTTGCAGGATAAAACGCAGCGGAGTAAAATTTTTCGTCGAAACGAAGGATTTCGTTGTTGTTATCATTTCCGCATTGTCATCGGGGCGATTTCACACACGTATACGTGTCATTACAGGCTCTTTGTAACGCCGGATGATGTTTCGTGTAACATGAAAATGGAGTCATGTAACTCCGTTAACAGACCATTCTCCATGGATAATATATTTCACGAGCGATGTATAATGGAGCGGGCGTACGTGAAAAACTCCTAGCCAAATTTGAACAGTCATTTCCATCAATTTGCAATATCCGAATATGGCGGAGCGATGAAAACTTTCAGCGGTTTAACTCGCGACGCCTTTATCGCCTTTTTTCTATTGGCGCACTAAAGCATAAATCGGAAATACATAACCAAAATTCCGTGATAGTCACACGGTATGCTCATTCGGTAAAAAAGAGATCTACAGAAAGGGGCGATCGATATCACGAATATCTTCAACGTTTCTGCCGTTCGTCGAATAATCTGAAAATATATACGCGACGCGGGACAAAACTGTTGGACTGTGTGTGCTCAGATGAAATTCGTGAAAAGGAAAATAAACAAGCATAACGTGGCAGCTGTTCAAAGACACCTATACGTCCGGCTGGAGCAAGGGAATGTATACCGGACGCACAGCGCAGCACGGGTAAGTCACGAAGGAAGTTATCACGAATCTGGCTTAATCGTCGTTAAGATCCTTAATCACGCGATCTCCGTGATTTCTTTTCCCTGCGATCGTTATCGCGACATGGTCAAGTACCGACACGCGTGTCGCCCTCTGCAACTTAAAGGATTTTCCACAATAACCCGCGCATTAACGAAATTAAGGTTTATCGACGGCGACCAATAGCGTTACGACTTCGCTGACATTGACGCTTGCATGTGTATGCAGGCGCGTGTCATCGATAAATGGTTAACACTGTATTCGGTTGATTAACATCCGCGGAAAAATTCGCAATGGTTGATGAGCGATGATTATGATAAGCGCGTACCGGTTTATAGGTTAGCTCGCTATTGTACTGGGTAGTTGTAAAACTGTTGATGTGAAAACTATCGTTGATCTATACGAAGGTCGAGCAGTTGACCTACATTATAGCTGTTTAAATATTTAAGCATTCGAATAGGTATACATGGTCGGTATAATGATAAATAAGTGGTATCGTTTTCTCGTTGATTTTCTTTCCCGTATTTGCAACTAACCGTATACTACGTTTATTGGCCGGCGAAGAAATTACACGGAAATGTCGAGGTAACGGTGAAAAAAAATGCATAGCGGAGTTCTAAGAAGCCGACCGACGAAGAAAGTAGCGAGTAAAACGTGTCGATTGTCCGGATGATTTAATGAGCCATGTACGTTGATTCGCGATTACCCCTAGCGTGTAGCGAACTCCCATTCCCGCTACCGTCGTGTCTCTTTCCAATAATTTACTTCGCAGTTGTGTCGCATCGAAGGTGCTGCCAGTAGCACCGCTTATTAAACGTAGAGAGAGCAAAACTCGTTGACTTCTTTCAAATTGGCCTAATAACGTCGATTAAATGCGTGCCGTAACATTCTGCGGTTCGAAAGATCGTCTTATCGTTTAAAACATCGGGTCGATTAAAGTTGAATTTAACCAGGCGACATATACCCGCGACTACGTTGTTCCCGAACACGTAATTTCCGGTGTATCATGAAAAGCTATTGAAATCTGCTAACATTTCTATAATTACCAGCCATTTAAGTTGGCAACGAACGGAGCAAAGCAACTGAAAGCAATTATCAAGGTTAATGTTACACGATACGGTGTTGGTAAGTTCGCGTACACGATCAGGTATTTCCACCATGTGACAGTGTGTATAAACGATGTCGGTAATTAATGGCACGATTTCCGAAAGAGGCAGGATCAACACGTTTTGTTGACGGACGACACGCAAGATGTCACTCCTACAGTTTTCTTATTATACGGAGCTGATCGTTAAACAAATACCTAGCTACTTGCCGATTATTGCAATTTCGAACAATTGGTATTCCACGAGAATAGAATCGACGGTGAAGCGACTGTGTTTACACAAAAGTCTATCGCGAACGTGTTAAACGACGCGGCAAACAACAATTTCTCCTATTGGCAACACACGAACCGGGAATGGTCAATAGAAAAAGCTGTCAGTAAATAATACCTTTACTCGTGGTTCGTTCTCTCGCGTTTCGTTTTCTCAGGAGATACGTCTTTAATCCACCTTGGCACTATGCGAAAAATATAACCGACACTCACCGATTCTCCCGCACTATCACAAACACTTCATGTATATATGTATAGTCTAAAGAAAAAAAGAAAACGCGTGCACAGTGTCACACATATATATGTATATCGAACGTATAAAGCGTCGGGACGAATCGCGAACGTCACAACCGCACCGTACAACGAACGACGCTCGACTGCGAGCCGGGTACCGAAGTGGATGACGGGAAACGTGTGAACGCCGCTTGCCGCCGCGGCGAACACCAATGAGCGGCTACTAACACAACCCACCGCGGCAACGACACTGACACACCAATAAGGGGACACGAATGTACACAGAGAACGGAATGTGCGTCTCTTTTCTTTTCACGCTCCGTCCTTCTTCCACTCGTTTCTCAGTTCGTCGAGTCAAGGGCGTCGACCGACAGGGGCGATTCGTTGTTTCCTTATATCGAAGAAACCAATAATGGCTAATTTCATAATAATTATGAAATTATAAGTTTTCTCCTCGTTCAAAGATACCACGACATCGATCGAGTGAATTCGTCCTACGCTAAAACGGTCCACGGGAGATCGCACCCAATGAGGCTTCCTATCGGAAATTTTAATAGCTATTTAACTTACTAACACTATGCTGCCGATGTCTTACACTCTCCGCAACTTTTTAACCAAGTTTTGTCGCAAGTTCTTTCCAAGTCGTATAAAGGAATGAAAACAATATTTCGGCACAAAAAGACAAACGAATTTAATTTCGTATAATTCCTTTACCAATTTGTAAATAATCATGTGTTTACATGTACTTACTTATATCACCATGTATCTGCGATGTATGGTAATATATATATGTACAACAGATATAATTCTAAATTTCTCCAAATTTACTTCGCAGAGATATCGTTCCCTTTCATTACATTTATTTCCTTTGTCACGGTCGTTCAGGACGTAATTTCTCACTTTAAAAAAATCTTTATCGACACCCCTGCTTTTGGTTATCTCGCTCGCACTCGGCAGTAGTATCCTCCCAGTCGCTGTCCTTCCCGCACACACACAGTAGATGCGACATATCATGTGGTCTCTGTTGCACCTCGGTATTTCTTGATCTTCCACCTCTTCCCGTCGTTTGTCTCATTTATTCCGAACTTTCGGCCTCTGTCTTACAGGTGCACCGCATCATCGCTATCGTTGTTTCGCTCGCACCTATCCTTTGTCATACATATGTCCTTTTCGCTCCGTCTCTATCCGTCTTCTTCATCCTCTTGTTCTCGCTCCGTCTCACTTTTAACCGTGTATACCGCGATCGTCGCGTCTGCGTTTCCCCGGCTCTTGTAGAACAACAGAGACTGCCTCTCTGCGCGCGTCCTGCTTGCACTTAACTGCAACGAGGCGTAGAAGGAGGAGTACCGGAACCAAGTGCCGAACGTTGCTTGTGTGTCGCGTGTACGGAGTGTCGGCAGCGCGCATAGGACAAAGACAGAGTGAGTCAAAGTGCTAGAGCCGGACAACACGAGTCAACCGGCAATGTAAGGAGAGACCTTTAGGTGGGTGCAAGCAACGCGACGGTGTAGGTGATATTCCAAGCATGGCTGAGAGCGTGTGCGTGCTCATCATATTACACACTGCTCATACATCGTGTCTGCTGCGCTTTGAGGGCGCGAGGAGATGAATCCTCGATTCGGTTAAACGCCCGCCAACTGGGGATGTTCTAAATCAGGCTGTCTACCTGCGACTCGGCTTTCTGAAATTCCAATACCCATATTCCCCCCCTCGCCGCGCGAAATACAAAACAGTTTATAGATGAAACACGTATTATAGCAAGAATCGTCCGAGGAGTGGGGAGAAGGGTTGAAAGCGCGGTGACACATTTTTCCCGGCGAGATAGTCGTAATAGTGACACATCAATGATAATATGGAAATGCATTTAGCGCGCCTTTATGCGAGCGTTATTCTGTTTATTGACACATCAATTTCAAGAATGCAATAACCGTAAAACATTTAGTCTCAGTAATATATAGCGGATAAATGAAATATCGCGTGATTAAACGCCGACTGAAATTGCTGTTACTTCGCCCTTTGGAATCTGCTGCATTTATTGTATCGATTCGCGTACTTGGAGGAGGAAAATTATGTTATATCCACGATAGCAGTTATAAAGCGGTGAACGCGGTGTGACGGGGAGGTGTAGCCAGGAGGCGAGTAAACAGCCGAAGAAAACTTTGTGGGCGGATTAGCATGGTAGGTGTCGGTGGGATATCATAAAACTAGTTTGTGAAGTAGAGGGCGCACCCTTCGCTGTACCGAAGGATTTCATTCCACAGGATTTCATTCAGTCCGCACTGCAACGGTAGACAGGCATTTTTTGAAGCTTTGAAAGGGCGGATTAAGGAGAGAAAACTTCGTCGTTACTTCGATTTTCCTTAATATGACTTTGCTCGCCATAATTTCCACGTTCAAACTTATTCAATTAAAATCAGCCAACGGTTTTTGTTTTGACAACTTGTTCGATGTGCTTGTTCAAAGTTTAACAAACGGTAATTAAATATTTGCTCGATTTATCCGCACGATCTTCTTTATCCTATTTAACACGTCTACGGAGTATAAGCGTGCGTTTCGGTTATTGCTTTACCTTAAATAATTCCGACGAGAAGGAATCGCGGTGAAATTGCGTTACAAAATGTAAAATAAATTATTATTAATACAAGCGTGCGAAATTTATTTTCGAAAATAACAAATTCCTGCACTATGGCAAGTCTGGCCATTTCTCGTTAAGTAAACCACATACGAAAACAACACGACGTATATACGCTCATTTACTTATTCCTATTCGACTGTCAGTACCGTCGCAGAAGTATCCATGAGTGTGTTACGCGTGCTGGGCACACAGTAAACGCAAATGTAGATATACAGTGTCTTTCCCTCCATCTTTCTCCCTCTTTCTCTGTCTCTGTCTCTTTCTCTGTTCCTCTCTCATTCCCACCTTTGGTGCATTGTGCTTCGGTTCTCGATCCCTCTTCCGAGCCCTTACCACAAGCCGCAGCCCACTACACTTTTGCACGAACACGCGCGCGTTCATTATCAACGTACAACGTCGTATAACCATATTTACGTAGCACCGGTGGTCACCCACACGGACGCAACGTGCAATGAGGTTGCAAAGAAACGACTTGTGCACAGAAACGAAATGCTATTTGTCGGTATACACAAGAAGCGCGTGAAAGAGCGAGAGGGAGGGAGATACGAAGACAGAAAAAGAGAGAGAGCGAGACGGTGAAACGAAGGAAGGGACGAAAGGAGACAGAGAAAAGCCATAAATGCAATTGGAAACCTTTAGCTGATATATTCGCGGAACTTCCTGTGGCGTCGCGTAGACAGAGAGGAAGCAATGCGTTTTCTTAAAATAATAAGTCACCCCCATACGATTCCATTTCACCGATACAGGCGAATCGAAACCGCCTATCCATCGTTATAATTACAGCCAATGAATAATCGTTCGTTTAAAGTAGACTAACGCGAAAGCTCGCCTCTTTTTTCTCTGCCTTCGAATCGTCGTCCGCCCGGACATCTACATAATTTCCTCGTAAATCACGTGACAGGGGAAACAACGAAGTACGTAAACGTCTTTGCGTACGCACACGAAATTACTCGTTCCTTATCGCGTGACTAATAACGAAGCAACGACGGATGTTGGAGACCTCGGTAATTTCGCTGGTAATTGGAGCAAATACGGTGTATTACAGTTGAAAGTCGTTGTCAAGAAAATCGATATGTCTTTCATGCGATATACAACGGAGGCGCATGCAACGATGTATCAAAGAGAGCAGCAACGTAAGACGATATTACGTTGATGCGAGGATAGAACAATGGAGCGTGTCTCTAGAATGTTTTAAATATAAAACTCCGTATTTGCTGGAAGCATCGTCGGCACGAGTCGCCTTAAGTTGCTTCCCTAAAGAGTACTACCATTCTTAAAGTATACCACGCTGGAATCATCTACTACCGGCGTCGTAAAAGGGTCTATATATCTAACTTGCACCACTCCGGTGAACACGAACCCCTGAAAACCTGTAAAACACGCGAACCGTCCGGATAATCATTCTTCCTACGGGGAACGACTCGCTCCTGAGCTACGTCTCTCGTCAAAGATAAAAAAGGAACTGGTTAATGGGATAGGACGGCCTTATCTTGAGTGTTTGAAACGTTCGCGATATCGTACTTTCACTGTACCGACGATGCTCGCTCAATATTCGTATGGTAATTAGGTAGCAGAGGGATTCCTTTGTCGTATCTTGTTTATATGCATTATCGGCGTACAAACGTTACAGCATTCTTCAATTACTTTGTCCCTATAACATAGTTAATCATGCTTTTTCATCGATATTTTCTACTTGTTTTATAATGACAGAAATGAAAATCAAAGACCCCGTGTGATACATACCGTTTTCGATTCGATATGAACGGCAATAAGCAGGCAAGCTTAAACTCTTTTGTAGCACACGTTCAAACGTAGTTAGAGCCAGTTATTTTCTTTTACGATGGATTTATCGTGGCTTATATCTTTAAAATCCTTGCAAGCACCAATTATGCATGTGTTACGACTGACAAGATAACTTATTCTATGCAAAATGTACATGTATAATTCGAATATATAATTCAAGGAGCTTTCTTTCTACCGTAGTAACAAAGTTATGCTTTTCAAATAACTTTGCAATTCTTTGCTGTGTTTCTTTGAATCTGACGTTTTTACCTTGGCAAGCTCCTACGAAGAAGGCATCGAAGTTTGTCTTCAAAGGAAATCATAGTAATTTTCTGTTGAGTTACGAGATAATGAACTCTAAGGGCAAGCGACATGCATCATTATTATAGTACACGACGTTAAACGCTGAAAACATATAAAAATAAATATAATTTCGACGTATTTGTTAGAAAAAAAAGATAAAAGGAAGAAAACGATTAAAAACATAAAAAGAGAAGTTTAAGGTCCCATATTCTATTAGTTCAGAGCAAACATAGAAATTCCAAATTTTCAAACCTAAAACGTTCCAAAAAATAGTTTTTCGGCTTCGAATCTAACCTCGCACGTGACCAGAATGATTTCCACAATTTTCAAGTAATCCACCGTACCGGTAGCAAGAAGGCTACCGTTATAAGACTCATTTCTTATTCTTCCAACTGGTCTTGTCACCGAAAATGCCAGTCTTACGAAGGCTCTGTGACTCTGTTTTTCATTCCTCCGGTGGAGCTCGGTGTGACAGTACCGCTTGCATTGTGTATACCTTTTTTCCAGCTGTTCCTCTTTCATGTACACGCTGTGGCGAACGCACGCGCGCACGCACACACACGTTCACAACACTTTTTCCATCTATCAGCCATCTCATTCTATCTCTGACCCATCTACCACCCACGCGCCCTCTTCTGTACTCATTTTTACACCGACCTATCCTTTCGTTGTATGAACAGGCAATGCGCGAGCTGGGAAAGAAAAGAAAGCAACAAGACGAAACGCTGCCGCCTTCTCGTTTAGCTCCTCTCCATTTCGATAATTGAGGAACGTTTGGTAGCACGACTTGGCTTTTGCGATCCTGTGAATCATCGTGATAATCGTACGATTCTCTAATGTTAATCTCTGTATAGTGTTAACCCTAACACCAACGAATTTCTATATTTCTATGTTAACATAGCACAAGCATGCATATCACAGTTGCTAAATACGCTGAAATATGGAAA